AACTCACTAAAATGACCATTACTAGTTGTAACTCTCATGACTATTGATTTTATATAACCTTAACTCTCACTAAGATAATTTACTACCCACTAACATATATGCTAAATTCACACATGCATTATGGATATAAAAATACTTGAAAATACTAAATACTAAAATCAAGTTTATTTTTCAATAGATGAGGCCCACACCCAGTTCAAGGTTTTGGCCCTCAGCAATGGTGGCGCCGCCTCGGCCTGGAGAGATACTGATATTGATCAGTCTTCTGTTAATAGCCAAGTAAACATATTCTCACATGAGAGAACAGCGGCTGTTGTATAAATATATTGTTTAGGTAATATTGGTAACCGCTTAGGCAAATATGTGATACTGTGTTTTCAAGTTGGGGATGAGAGTTTCAAAATCATGCCACTTCCACCAGGAGCAGCCGCCAGAGCTGCCACCAAATATTGTTTTTTCACCATACAAGTGAGAGATCGTTTGGCTCTGATTAATTCTAAGGTCACCGAAATTTGGATACTAGAAGACAATCACAAGCAACTATGGAATAAGCACTCTCTCAATGTCCCACCTATGTTTTTCAATGCGAAGGATCCTATAGAACCGATTTGTAGTATTGGCGGTGAGATTTTATTTTGATACCATTTTGATACCACAAATCAAAGTTGTTTATTATGATCTGGAAACGGAAACAACAAGAAATGTCGGGGGCTTATCAAAATTGGAGTCATCATCTCACTTCATCTTCACCAGCTATGTGGAAAGCTTGTACCCCATTGAAGGGAATATAATTCAAATGCATTAAGGGAAAATTACATATAAATGGAGTCAAAGTTCCATATTTACTTAGAGGCTGAGTCAAAGTTCCATATTTCTCTAAAATGGATTGCTGAGGTGGCACATGATTTTTTACTGTTTAGAAATTGTGGTGCCTAAAATACCCTTCCACGAAGGTACTACTTTTTCTTCGAAGGTACTACTTTTTTGAACTGAAGGTACTACATTTTGGCGTCCAGGTACCATGTTTTTTAAACACCCGCGAAGGTACTACTTTTTCTCCGAAGGTACTACTTTTTTGAACTGAAGGTACTACTTTTTTACACTGAAGGTACTACTTTTTTATTAGGGAAGGGCATTTTAGGCACCATAATTTTCTAAACAGTAAAAAACCATGTGCCACCTCAGCAATCCATTTTAGAGAAATATAGAACTTTGACTCAGTCTCTAAGTAAATATGAAACTTTGACTCCATGTATATGTAATTTTCCCATGCATTAACGGTTACTTTATGTTGGTCTTTGGGCCTTGTTAGAAAAAGGGTTATTGTATTGTCATCTTTTGGTTTTGGGCTTCGGCCTATGCTTGTCTAAATATGTTTGGCAAGTCTTAAGTCCAAATTGCTTATTTTTGTGACATTTGTTGTTGGTTCATTTAAAAAAATGAGAAACTGGTTAATCTTTCTTGGTGAATTGTAACATGTCCCATGGTTAGCAAGGCTATATTTTTACGAATTCTTTCAGAGTGCGTTCGGCTGTATGAAATTGAAGTTTTGGAATTATGTGTTCGGCTACACGGAATTAGAGCCTTAAAATTAAAATTGAACTTGTACAATTCTTAAAATAATATATTCTAGTTACAGTAGATTTCTTTTTTATATCATGTGGCTCTTAGAGTCTTACATCACTTACAAATGCTTAATGATATTTTCTTAAGGCGATACCTTAGGATTCAAAATAGAATAGAATTAACGAATTCATGTGAATTTAAAATCGGATCTGAATTTAAATCAAATCTCCTGGATATAGTCCGATGACCCATATAATTGAAACATGATCCAAATATATGTATTGGATTTAGGGTAAAACCCATTGATATATTTAAAAATTATCCAAATTCATCTTCTAATTCATACTTGACCCATTTAATTCAGATTCAAAAGTAAACTTCAAATCTGTTAAAAAAATAAAATAAAAAAAAAACTTTGACTTGGATCGAATTTTGAGTCAAACTCGATTCATTTTAACCTTAATTGTCGTGTGAATCTTGAGTAATTAGTCATTTCTATTGGATAGTTAAACATTTGGTTAAGTTAATGAAGTCAAATTCTTCATTATCATTCCATCACGTGTCATATATGAAAATAGTTGTACCCCAATAAAATGCAAAAATATAAGAGATTTAAGAGCTTGAGAATTGTACTTGCAGTATGAACAAAACAAATACTAGCATATATCCTTAGAAGTTCCTTAGCATCCTGAACATTATAAACGAGCACCAGCAAAAACATCTTGTTTCATGCAAGACACCACCTCAAACAGTTGATGATGTCTGTCTCTAGCTTTTCCCATCTACCTATTTTTATCCAAAATAGTATTTTTCTCCCGCGACAGTTGCATTAAAGAAACTTAAAAAGATTGTCACAAAACACAATCTTACATCTCACTCTGGACACTGTCCAATTGAAGCTGATGGCATGCACCTTCCCTGATTCCCCCATAGGCAGAAGAATTGTAGATGACTGGGACCTCCCTCTGTCTGTTCTGAGACCACTGGTGAAACCACCAGACACCTAGCTTATGGAAATTCGAGGCTCTGTCCATGCTCACCGGATTGTGAAGTTCCCTTCGATCTTCAACTACTAACCGTTGCCTCTTTGGGCTTGGTCCAACTTCTAGGTTTTGTTTTGACAACTTGGCTTATGGGCCTGGTTGATCTATGGTGTTTTGGTTCCTATCCTGGCCCATTATCTTTATGGGCCTGTTGTGTTGTTCATATTTATCTATAAATTTAAATTCACCTTTCAAAAAAAAAAAAAAAACTTAAAAAGGCAATAGATATTTCATGGTAAAAATTAAACAGGAATGCTATGTATGAGTTAAGTCACATAAAGCAGATGCGGGAGCGGAAAGAAGTGCGAGAGCAGCCAAAATTTAAGCCAAGTGAGTAAAGTCATTTAAAGTTATTTTTTAAATGACTTTGCTCTATATCATACAAAAATATGTCTGCCCAATTCTTTTTATTTTTCTACAAGTATAGAAAATCATTTTCGCCAAAAAATTTAATTGTGTTTAAATGAGAAAATCACCTCTGGGGCCTTAAAAGTGCAATTGATGCATCTTAAAGCACATTTAAAAACATATGCATTTAAAACACCACTGATTTCTCCAATTCTAAGGTGGTGTTTTAAATACATATGTTTTAAAAAAATGTGAAAAATAGATCTCTTGTATGTCCGGAGGCTTCAGCTCATGATCGTAGAAAATAAGTTAGTGTAGGCAGTTTTAAAAATGCATAATGGGATGGGCTAATCTATTATGGGGTGGATTAGTAATATTATTATTATTATTTTTTTTTAGTGGGCTCCAGCCCATCAGAGCCCACCTGGATCCGCTCTCTACCATATATTGTGTAGTATAGTGTACTTTCTCTTATTGTGTATAGGTGGTGCTAGCTCATAATAATGTGTGCATGCGTTGGTATTTTTTATTTTTATTTTTTCTAATTGGTACTCACACACATTACCACCACTGAGGTTCAAATCCCTGACATCTCTTTGAGAAATAGGGGCCTTGACCCGCTAGACTACAGGTCTGTTGGTATTGATATTTCATTTTATATATAACATTTTCAAATCTCTTAGGGAAGTGATTGTTGGCACTCATATGTGTGAATGCCTTCTAATTGTGTAAATGTATTTTGCATATGAAATTATGAAAATGAAAAGTCCATAAAACAAATAGTATCTATATAAGGTGGAAAGATCGTGACAAATAGCATCAGACATGCTCAGTGCCTCGGACTATGACGTCCAACATCATCTGGAAATTAAAAAAAAAAAAACGTGGAAGGGTAGCTTTATTATTATTATTAATTTTCCCCTAAGCTATGTATAATTAAAACAATATGCACTTATAACAAACAATGGGGATAACCCTAAAAAAAGTGAAAGAAGTGTAGAAGGAACTAAACAATTGAAAGAAATGGAAAGGAATGCTGAAAAAGAACCATTTCCGAAACCAAAAATAAAGAACAAGAACAGTAATTAATACAAGAATATCCAACAACTCAGCATAGAGGATGCAGAGCATCTTGAAAAGAAAACTTGACTTTTCTCTAAATTTATACACAGCCAAGATCAAACCATATTAGCCCCACTTTCGGATTACATATCATTTTGCTTAATAAATATTGTACCTGAGGAGGACAAACAACTGTGCCATTTTCTAATTGTCCGGATTAGAGAAAAGGGGGACTCTCAAAGATTTATAACATAACAATGGACAGTTCATCTAAGATTTCACTTCCAAAGGGTTTCTCTATGAGACCAAAGAAAGGTCTAGAGTTTAAGCTACAGTCAAGGTTCTTGGATGTATGTGGTTACTACTTTTCTTTTTTCTTTTTCTTTTTTTTTTTATTATTTTATTTTATTTTAAAAAAGAAGTGTTTCTTTATGAGTCCCTCAAAGGCAGCCCTCGCATACTTGCCGCGCTTTTGAAGGTCAGCCGCCTCCAATTCCTAGGGGATGTGTAATTTGTAGGAATGTTAAAAAAAAAATTGTGTCCACTTTTAATTAATCTACTAATCCCTGCAATAATATTATATGTTTACATGGATATGCATAGTACATACCTAGATTAGCTAGATACGCAATTACGCAATATAATTAAAATTTATAATATTATATATATACCCATATATGCATATAGTACAAAAAGGCTCCACATCCAAATAGGATTGCAACTTGCAAGGATTGATAATTACATAGGATTTTTCATTATATAAATTCATGACATTCTTTAAATTAGGTCATAAGCCCTCCACCCACAAGCTCTTGAGAGACTCCATATACCTTTGTCATATTGAGCCGTTCCAATATAAATAAACCCTAAATTGCAATGTTCAAAGGAAGGAAAACGCACCCACTGTCCAAATTGCTAAGATCGACGATGAAGAAAAAGGGAAAGATGATGAAGAGGAAGAAGAAGGAAAAGAAGGGAAAGATGATGAAGAAGAAGGGAAAGGAAAATAATGGGTTTTCTCTTCCGCAAGGAAATAACGGGGTCTCTCTTCCGCAAGAGATTATTTTTGAGATACTGAAAGAAATTCCGGCGAAAATATTATTCAGATTCAGGTGTGTTTCCAAACTCTGGCTCTCCATAATTGATGATCCACTCTTCGTTGAGTCCCACCACAATCGGTCAATCAATCGGCCCGACGGCATCAACCTTCTACTCCTGAAATCACCAACATCATATATATATCATGTGGATAGCCAATTCTACTCCATAGATCCAGAAGGCAGGTCATTCCTTCACCTTCAATCACTCGAATCACTTCATGACACAGCAGATTTCTTGCCTTCTCCTTTGTATTCCGTCAAGAGCTTGATCTGTTTTCATAACTGCATATGGAACCCTAGCACCAGGGAAATCCAAGAAATCCCACCCATTAGGAGAAGGAGTCCAACTTTCTCCTTCCCAGGAGGAGACAATTCATTGAGAGTTGTATCCTTGAACCTTTTATGGTTTAAACCAGCTGCTTCCGGCAGGAAACACAAAGTCCTCAAACATTATCAAACAGATCAAAACCGATCTAGTCCATATTCCTGAAGTTTATTTTCCCCAAAATGGAGATAAACTCATTCTTGAAACAGATGCCTCTGACCTCTGTTGGGGATGTGTGCTAAAAGCCATTCCTAAGCTTGAGATACCATATTTGATAAGGTTGGAAAAATCGAGTTTTTCTTAACTACCAATGGGGTATCTGCTTCGATGGTTTCATCAACAGATTCTGAATACTCAGATTTGTCTTAAAAGACATATATCTGTTCGTCATCGGATGGATCTTCATTGTCTAAGTAAATCGTCGTCGAGAAGGTGCATCGACTATTTGAATCTCAACGACTGTTTGGTCTTTTAAGGTTAAAGAAATAGATAGATGTTGAAAAAGAATCTATTGATTTTCTTGGTCTCGTTTTAACCCACAAAGGAATAAAGCTCCAAGATCACATTATTATTAAAATCCGTGATTTTCCTGACACTATTCAAGATAAAAAGCAACTTCAAAGTTTTTTAGGAATCTTGAATTATGGTTGCACCTTTATTAAAGGCTTATCTCAAAAGGAACTTCCTTTAATAAAGAAGTTACAGAAAAATGTAGTTTTCGAATGGAATGATAGCGACACAAACATTATCAAACAGATCAAAACCGATCTAGTCCATATTCCTGAAGTTTATTTTCCCCAAAATGGAGATAAACTCATTCTTGAAACAGATGCCTCTGACCTCTGTTGGGGATGTGTGCTAAAAGCCATTCCTAAAGATTCTTATGCGACATTTGCAGTTTTCCAGCCTATGTCAAACTTGTTACAAAATATTTTCGTAGACTTCCCCCAAATGCCATTGAACATTGGTTACCCCAATTCTTTCATAAGCTTCCAAATCCTTAGGATGAACTTGCAGCCAAAGGTTACCCTGACTTTCTCATTCATATCCAGAAACCAGATAACATCGGTTTCCGTACCAATTTTGTTTATCGCCTTATTAACGAAAAATGTCTTGAGACTAAAGCAAAAAAGCAAGTCAAAAACCAGATCAGCAACACAGCTGAAGGCCAACGTTGTTGCGACAAGATTCTACAAGAAACTTGGAAAATTGGATGCGCACCTTACAAAGCTGCTCCCCGTCTTCCAAAACCAAAGCGAAAAAATTTTCGCTGGAAACAATGGAAGGCTGGCAAACGCCCAGTTCGCGCCTCCAAAAAGTATGTTACTAAGGATACTTCTCCTCCTCCTTCCAAACCTAAGAAAGGGAAAAAGAAAAAAGGAACCAAAAAGTCCTCCAAAGCTTCTAAATCCTTAGAAATCAAAAAAGATTGTAAATGTTACATTTGCAATGAAATTGGTCATTATGCAACAAATTGTCCCCAAAAAGGCAAAAGTGCATCTAAAATGATTAAGCATTTACAAACAGATAATCTCTGTGTTGTTTATGGTCACGAGATTACAGATCCAAATGACATTCTGTATGAAATTTCTAGTAACTATTCCAATTCTTCTTCCAGTACAGCCACCAGCGATACTGAAAGTGATTTTACAGATATCGATACTATCTGTATGATGAACCTTACCCCTTCAAAACCTGATGAAACAACTAACATCAAACTTAGTGATATCATTGGTGAAGAAGTACAGTTCACAAACGAACAACTTATTCAGTTTGATAAACTTCAACGAATCAAAAAGGAAGAAGTTTACAAGACTTCTCGTTTTGCTATCTTTTCCAAACGAATTTTAGAACAATTCAGTGGAAATACTACCATCGACTACACTTCCAATGGTCGTTGTGGATTCAATATCCTTAACAAGGAAAAAATCGAGCGATGGAAACAACAAAACCCTCTAGCACGATACATTCATATCGGCTTGGTCCAAATCAAAATTACTTCTCTGTTTCGACGAGGCACAGATCAACTTGTCATTGCTATTGTCATGGACAACTGTTTCCACAAACCGGTTGATGCACTTATCGGCGGAGTTCAGTCGAACCTGGTTAACAATTTAATGTGGTTTAAAATCAAACCCAATTATTTTGTTTCACTTTCTGATCCAAACATTGAGAAAGTCCCACAAGTCAGACTCCAATTATCAAAATTACAAATGGATTATGACACTCCCAGTCTTGGAATCCAGTGGAAAGTTCTCTATGAGCTTACTCGCAAACCCGAATACATCAAATGAATTATGCGACATTTGCAGTTTCCCAGCCTACGTCAAACTTTTTACAAAATATTTTCGTAGACTTCCCCCAAATGCCATTGAACATTGGTTACCCCAATTCTTTCATAAGCTTCCAAATCCTTGGGATGAACTTGCAGCCAAAGGTTACCCTGACTTTCTCATTCATATCCAGAAACCAGATAACATCGGTTTCCGTACCAATTTTGTTTATCGCCTTATTAACGAAAAATGTCTTGAGACTAAAGCAAAAAAGCAAGTCAAAGACTAGATCAGCAACACAGCTGAAGGCCAACGTTGTTGCGACAAGATTCTACAAGAAACTTGGAAAATTGGATGCGCACCTTACAAAGCTGCTCCCCGTCCTTCAAAACCAAAGCGAAAATTTTTTCGCTGGAAACAATGGAAGGCTGGTAAGCGCCCAGTTCGCGCCTCCAAAAAGTATGTTACTAAGGATACTTCTCTTCCTCCTTCTAAACCTAAAAAAAACATATGGTATTTACTTCCAATACCCATATAGATTCCTCTTTCGAAGATGTCCAACAAGGAATGATCTCCTTGAATGACAAACTTGAAACTCTTACCCAGATTTTCACTCTTTCCAATCCTAAGGATACATCAGTCCTTCAGGAACAGATACATCAAATGACCGTAGATTTAGCTAAACTAAAAAAAAGCTAAGATGTCAGATCTTTACCCACCTGAACCAGATCCACCCGATCCTTCCAAACAAGACTCTACATCTCCTACAGCTTTCCCCATGGAAAATCCAATTTTTAACGAAGGTCAAACACCTCATCATTATAAGGTAAAACCCTTTTTTTATGGCCATGAAGAAATAAAAGTGTTTTCTGAAACCTCTTCATCTAAATATTGCCGTGATGACTATGACAACATCATAGATCAACTCAATTGTTTACAAACATTATATGTAAACCCACAGCTTACTTTTGATGAAAGCACACATATCATCAATCACATAAGACAGATCTCTTTACAAAACGAAGATCTTCTTACTCACTTTGGCTACACACCAAGTGAAAGCCGCAGTGACTTAGACAATGAAGATCCATCCGATGACGAATAGATATATGTCTTTTCAGACAAATCTGAGTCTTCAGAATCTGTTGATGAAACCATCAAAGCAGATCCCCTACCTGATTCATCTTCTGAATCTCTCGATGAAACCATCGAAGCAGATCCTTTACCTTCCAGATCTAAAACCCAAAGATCTAAATCAAAAAAGCGTCAATCAGACACTATTCTTGACGAATCTTTTTACGGAGATTTTTCTACCGACCTTTTCCCCGCAGAAGAAGTTCCTACCTCTAGCCAACCACAAACTGACGGCGAAAAAGGAGAACCAAAAAAACCCTCTGTTTATACTTCCTCGTATAAATATGATTTTTCTACCGTCCCCACCTGGACCAGAAAAGATGATCTTAATAAGTTTCCAATTTCACAACATGGAACTTATCTTAATCTTTCAAATGTTCCTTATAAAGACCATTTGAAAACCATTGATGAATGGGCACAGTCTTTAGCCATTCTCATTAACAACTATAAAGGTACTTGGCAACGCGATCGTTTCAGTTTATCTGGTTTGATGAATGGGCATACGAGGTATGGCTTTGATACCAGTTACAATAATGCGGAAAACAAACACACAAATGGAACTGAAGGTTTTTACAGGTTTACAGGGAAACACAATATGGAAAACTGATACTAAAAACTCATACCGAAACCATGATGGGGTTACGAATTAAATAGCATTACAAAAGGTAAACAGTTCTAAAGAAGATAAGAACGAATCTTTCTTTCACTGTTTGAAAAAGAGGTTGTCGGCAACTTTTACTGTTGATGAATACTTTGTCGGCAGCTTTCGGTCACTTTTGCTTTTGGAAAAAGTAGACATAACAGCTCTCTTTGTCGTGTGCTAGATAGATTGCAGTCAAGTGGAAAAGAGTGTCAGTTCGTCCTTCCATGGCATTGATGATGTTATGGAGTTCATATTCATTAAGTGGAAGAGTGCTGGCTAGTGATTGTGCATCAGCAATATCCCATTCGAGATTGAGTCGTTCGGCTCCATCTTTGACTCGAGAGGGGATATCCAGTGTGGTCATGCTAATGATTTCTTTTAAAAAAGCTTTAGCAGTCTGGACGTGGTGTTCTCCATTGTCGTCATCATAATAACAATTGACTGTAGTAACAAAGAGTCTGCGTCCGTCACAACAGTACAAAATTGGTTCTTGATTGTGATAAGAGCCATCAAGAAGTCGTCGAGCAGTATCTCGTAGGTGTAAGAAACTGTGAATTTCGAAGTAATACAGATTAATGCTGTTAGCAATTTCTTCCGAATTTATTAGTTGATTATGCTCGTACTCACCTTGTGCTGTAAGCTTGAGATACCATATTTGATAAAGTTGGAAAAATCAAGTTTTTTCTCGACTACCAATGGTACTGGAAATCCAAAAGGTAAGATGGCGGCTGTAGTTCTAGCGTCTGCATACTTTGTAAACCATGGATTTGATCATGGCAGGAAAATGTTGGTATGAATCAATGGAGGTAAAGGTGAGTTTGTTCACAAATCCCCAATCAACAGGTTCCATGGACCAATCAAAACCAAGAATGATAAAAAAGGCAAATTTTGGGACCTTTTTACCATTATAAAGCATATCAAAGGTATTGATATCTTCATGTAATGTCTGATAATAAAATCAAATGACATCATAATGATCTTCAATCTTTCGATAGATAACTTGAAAAAGATCAGGAGGAAAAACATTTCGTGCTTTTTCAAGAAGGCATATACAGTTGATTTTGGCAAACGTATTTTGTGGAAAATCTTGTTCTCTTACTAACTGAGCAAGTTTA